AGAACATCATCAACATCACAATGACATAATTACAGAATACAGACATTGCATCTCATAATATTTTTTTTTTTATCTTCATTTTATTTATAAGTATTTAAGTCTTTTTAATTTTTTTCTATTAAATTTGGCAACATACCATTGTCAAATGGACTTTTCTACATAGTCTTTTGTAGATTTTATCAATCTTTCTGGAAAATATTATTATCTAAATTAATTGATAACCTTCCGAAATATTATTCTTATAATGTAAAACCCTTTGATTTAAAATTTAATTAAACAAAAAAAAGTCTATATGATAACGAGAGACTTTTATAATTAAATAATAAAGGAAATGAGAAAATTATGTGTAAACGACAACTTAAAAAATCTTTTTTCAAAGAATTGGTCATCCGTTTGAAACTTGATCCAACAATAATAAATGGTAATTGGTAAGGAGGTTGGACTTTAATGTGTTTGATTAAATTAATATTTAATACTCATTATGAGTTAACCTAATCTGCAACTATAATTTTATATTATTAATCAAATTATTTGTTAATTAGTTGTAGATGTCATGAAATTTCAACGTCAATGTGAAATCTCAAGTTGGGTTTGTTCAAATATTTAATTATTTAATCAAAACACATAATCACTCGTGGTAGGCATTAATATTATATTTTGTTTACTAAGGATTAAATTAATACATCAACAAAATTTATTATATGAGCATATTTTCTAGAGTAATGTAGTCACAACTTTCTCTCACAACCCGACGTGAAAATTTTTCATAATCAGCTTGTAAAATGGGTTTTCCTACTTTTTGCAAGCTAACAATGAGAACAGTCATGTTAAGAGTTGTGAATGAAGTTTAGCCTAACATTATTTATTTCTTATCGCCAAATAAGTTATTATGAATTATCAACATTCATTATCATCATATATATATATTAAAAAAGGAAAATTTTTTTAGGGAAATGTTATAATATATGAATATTAAGAAATCTTGGTTTAGCGGGAATCTAAATTATATATCGAAATTAAGTTATTTCATAAGAGAATACTACATCAACAACCTTCTTTCACAAACTTTTCTCACAACTTGACGTGGTACTCGCAATTGGTCACTGATGATTAATTAGTGGGACCCATGCAGGACCCATGTAGACCCGTTTAAATGACTAATTGCAGTTGTCACGTCAAGGTTGTGGAAAGGGTTGTTGGTGTAGTATTATTCTATTCATAAATATCAGAGATGTTAAGTTTTATAAGAATCTAACATTATATATTGAAAAAAATTTGATTATGATGAAACTTTTTAGGAAATGTATATATCAAGAAATTAGATTTGAGTCCTCTAATAAATATTGAGAAATTATAAGGTTTGCAAGAATCTAATATGATATATCAACGAATTGATCAAGAAGAAAACATATAGAATATCTTTAAAAAAAAAAAAAAAAATTACTTGGAAGTTGAAATTTATCTCATAAAATATATAGAGATTGTATGATTCATCAATTAATTTAGAGTCTAATATCATATGTCGAGATTTAAGATTAGAGTATTTTCTCATTAATATTCATAAATTATAGGATTCAACATAAATCTAATATCATATATTGAGAAATCAACCACAAAGTAGGGGTGTGCCAAATTAGATATCCGATCTGATTTTGTATTTTTTTGATCCGATCTGGAAATTTAGCGCAAAGACAAATCATTTAGGGTATCTTGAAAAACTTGGACTTGAAAGTTGAAATTGATGTCAAAAAAATATGAAAGAATGGAAGTATGCCCCCACCTCATAAATAGGACACTTGGGAAAGCAAAAGGGGAGAGACTTAGATGTAAAACAATAACAAGTAGACAACCCAATCCAACTAATTCAAACAACCTTCAATTGAAAACTTTGTTATTTATCAATTTAAAGACAAAGTCCCGGCATGAATCTCTGCCACCATTTATTGCTAAATCAATCAAAAGGCTCCCCCCAGTTGTCCTCATCACCACCCGTCCCTAAATTGACTCCTCACTCTCACTTCTATCCTCACATTTATTAATTTTGTTGCTCTTTTCTATGATTTACTTGGGCGAGGGAGATTCAAATTTCCTCTTTTCACATTTATTAACAATTTATGTGATATTTACATTATCAAAAACTTGAAAGAAATACAATATTTCTTTTATATGAATAAAAATCTTTTATGATAAAAAGTATATATGACTCCCTTGATAAGCAAGAAACATGTTTAGACATGTTTGATTTGATCTGATATCAAATAACATATGGTGAGGCGAATTGAGGATGAAGTGAAGCTTCTCATTTCCAATATCAAGGTTTGAAGTGGTGTTAATCAAGGATGTGTCATCAAAATGTTGATTATGTTCTCCATTAAATTGCAAAGCTTATCACGAATTAGAATTTTTTTTTTTTTTTTTTTTTGGTATCTGGTGTGTTTGGGTTAACTTGCGTGTACCTCAACTAATCTTCGAGGTCTGTTGAACACCCTATAATTCTAAAAGACCAGATAAGTCACAATATTATTATGGTAGACGACCCCAATGTTTGAACTCAATAATTTAAGGAAATGAGTAAACTTCTTTGACCATCACGCCAACCCTTAGAGTTAGAATTAGGAGATATTAGCTTCACCCACTCATGTCTTTCCATTTGTAGGTGTACTGCATATGCTCTAATTGCCAACTTAATTACCATTTATTTATTTGCTAGACTGTTGAACTAAACTTGACATTTAATTTTCATTTAAAAAATGAGTTAAGGCACATTAAAAATATCAAAAACTCCTCAATTCAAGTATAACATCGTTATTCAATACATCAATATCTGTGATGACGCTTCATAGTCTCAAAGTGGGTAAATGAAACCAAACCATTTTCAATTTATAAATTGATTTATTGAAGTGCAAAAGATTACCAAATCCAACCTATTTCATTAAATTAACTTAATTTTGTGAGACCCATTTAAAATTATAATTTAAGTTCAAACCCAACCTATTTCATTAACCACCCCTAGGTGGACAAATGAGACAATAAAGACTTTTGGATGTATTACTCAAGAGGTTTTTAATTCAATTTTTCTCTATTGTTAATAGGGGTGACCATTAGAAGATTTATTCGGTCGTCGTTAACTTTAAAACTTCGGAGGATTAATCAAGGTATGCGACAATTATCTTATTGGCATGATAATGTTACCACACTTTATTCTTTATAAATGAATTAATACAATATTTTTCTGTCTGTCAATTTAAATGGTTTGGAATGAGCCTGGCCAGGATTGTGTTATGCCCCTTTTGCTCTTCGAAAATGACATACAAGTAAAAAAGTAGGCTGCCTAGTTCACGAGTTATTGACTTCTCACCTAACTTCATGTCTATTTCAATTTTCAAAGCTCTTCTTCTTCTTACGCGCTTTCAAATCTATGTCACCATATAGTTTATCCTACTCAATCACCAATATCATTAAAAAAATAAAGAAATCTTTTAACTTAGAATATTTTGTTTCGTTAAAAAAGTATAAAAGCTAATTAAGTCTCTAAGAGCATCTCTAATAATGCTATTTATTTTGAAGAGCATCTTTTATATAAATAAAAAGCATCTTCATTAATTTTAAAATATAAAGAACACAATTTTTATTCAAATCCAATAGACTCTTTAAATTTAATGAAGATACTCTTTATTTTTAAGAAATAGACTTAATAGGAGAGAGAATTAATAAATAAAATGCATGAGAACTTGTAGTTTATTAATTAAAATTAGGATAGAGAGTGAAATTCGACTCTCTAAGTGTGAAGAGTCAAACTCACTCTCTAATTTATATTTTAAAAATAAAGAGTATGTTGAACTCTTGTTTTTGTTGAACTCTTTATAATAAAGAGTTTATGTCATATAAAGAGTCATTTGGAGATGCTCTAAGCGTCACTGTAATTTTTTAAAAGTATGTATGCACATACATATTTGTAATCGGCTTTTTTATTTTTTTTAGTGGTTTTTTTTTTAGTGGGTTTTTGGTAATTTTCAAAGAAGTATTTAACACTTTTCGAAATTCGCTAGCTGCTCCAGACTTGGCTATCTCCTAAGGGGCCAAAAAAAAAAAAAAAAAATTAAATAAATAAATAAAAACCCTTAAAAAATAAAATTACCGATAACATAAATATATTAATAACCAAAATAAAAATTAAATCAAGAAAATGTTATCTAGCATTCAAAGCATTAAAGTGGGTTTTAATTCTTTGTAAAGAAAAAAATAATGAAATTGTAAGTGTGAAGACTGAAACGGTGTCGTTTTACTTAAACCAATAAGTTGTTGTTTCAAGAATGAAACTAGACCATCAGTTTTTCAAGAGATCCAACGGCTGAGTTTAGCCCATCCTGGTCAACGATATAGAAGCAAACTTTTCTCTTTAGTCTAGGGTATTCTATTCGATTGATACGGTGTTAGGTTTGCTCTGCTAGGGTTCATCCTTTGTTCAAAAATCTTGTTTTGTGTAACTGGTTGAGTGATTGGTTTTGTCATTCTGATTGAGGGGTTTTGTCTCTCGGTGGGCTGGGATTCTGAGTGTTAGTTTCCTAGGCTGATAGTTATCAGATAGGTGATTTCGGGTGTTATTGGATCTTTCGATCTTGTGTCTGTAATCTGTAAACTGATTAACAAATTAGTGTAGTGAGCTTCGTTCGTTTCCGGAGCTCAACGTGGACGTAGCCTTCCCAATCTTGGAAAGGTGAACCACGGTAAAATTGTGGTGTTCTTGATCATTTGTGGATGTCTGTTTTATTGTTATAATCTATGTTTAAAAGAGTGTTATTACAACAATGGTATCAGAGCCTTTTACCTTAGAGCCTAGAGTGAGTTTGAGATCCGAATTTGAGAAAATTAAAACTCTAGGGCTTCATCAAAATTGGGGGTTTTCTAAAATTTTGAGTTCTAGGGTTCTTAGAAGACTATAGGTCATCATCAAACCAGAAATAATCATGAATCGACACCATTTTCTGATTATGAGCACCATGAGTTCAACTCGCATGGAGATTGCGGAGTACGATGGAAAAATTGACTTCAATTCTTGGAAGAAGAAGATGAAGGCCCTAGTTTCACATAATAAAGTAGGGATTGCATTGGAAAAGGATGCAGAAAAGTGGCCAGCGGACAAGTTAAAAAGAAAGGCAAAAATAGACGAGGAGGCATACAACTTGATCGTGATGAATTTGGCAGACAACATGCTGAGGAAAGTGGACGGATTAGAGGCTCCAATCGCACTCTGGGGTAAACTCGAAACTCTGTATGCCTTACAAACTGCACCAAATCTTACTTTCTTAAAAGGTGCACTATTTTCATATAGAATGGACAGTAATAAGTCAATAGAAGATAATATTGATGAATTCTTGAAAATGACTATAATCCTAAAGGGCACTGACCAAGAATTAAGTGAAACGACTTTAGCAATGATCTTCCTAAACTCACTGACAAAGGACTACCAGGTTGTTAAGATCGCCTTACAGTATTCTGGCACTGTCCCTAGTGTAGATCTCATAGTATCAGGACTAAAGGCTAGGGAGTTAGAGTTGAAGGTTTAGAAAAGAAGTGGGAACAACCTGTTGGTTAAGGGTAAAACTGACCTAGGAAGTTCCTCTAATGGCATGCAAAGAAACACTTGGTCTAAGGCTAAAAGGAAAGGGAAAGGGACTAATAAGAAAAAGGAGACTAGGAAGTGTTTTCACTGTAATAAACCAGGGCATCTAAAAAAGAATTGTTACGATTGGATTAGAAAACAAAAATCAGTAAACACTGAGAGCAATGTGGCATGTGCTAACAATAATATTACTGATCCAGAAATCCTTACTGTGTCTAGGATAGATCAAACACATGACTGGGTGTTAGACTCAGGATGCTCCTTCCATATGAGCCCTAACAGGGATTGGTTCCAGGACTTTAGGGGTGGTGAATATGAAACTATCTATATGGGTAATAACAAAACCTGCAGAGTGTTAGGATTAGGAAATATAACCCTAAGGCTGGATGATGGAAAACTTATTGTGTTATCAAATGTTAGATACATTCCTGAACTAAAGAGAAACCTAATATCCCTAAGCGCTCTAGATGAATTAGGTTGTAGTTATAAGGCTGAAAGGGGTTGCATAAATGTGTTTAAGAATTACCATATTGTATTAAGGGGGTTGAAGAAGAATGGGTTGTACCTTTTGTGTGGCAATTATTACCCTGAGAAAGGGAATAGTGCACTGGTCTCCACAAATCTCAATACTATTGATAAGTGGCATCTTAGGCTAGGGCATATGAGTGAAAAGGGTATGAGCATTCTTAGCCAACAAGGTTTATTTGGAAAGGATAAAATTACAACCCTAGACTTTTGTGAAACCTGTGTCTTAGGAAAACAACATAGAGGTAGTTTCACCAAATGCATACACTTATCCAAAAGTTGTTTGGATTACCTCCATGCTGACCTTTGGGGACCTGAAAGGATTAGATCTCATGGAGGGAATTCCTACTTCCTTTCAATTGTTGATGACTTCAGTAGAAAGGTTTGGGTATACCTACTGAAGTCCAAAGATGAGGCACTGTCTAAGTTTAAAACCTGGAAAACACTTGTGGAAAATCAAATTGACAGAAGAGTGAAAGCCTTAAGAACATACAATGGTCTGGAGTTCTGCAATATGGAGTTTGATAATTACTATAGGGATCAAGGTATATTAAGGCATAGAACAGTTAGGAAAACCTCTTAGCAAAATGGAGTTGTTGAGAGAATGAACCGAACCTTGTTGGAGAAAGTCAGATGTCTTCTGTTCACTTCAGGACTCCCAAAACTTTTTGGGGAGAAGCTTTGACCACTGCTGCCCACCGGCCCAATAGCTCCATAGGATTCAATTGTCCTGAGTCTAAATGGTCAGGAAGAGAGTTAAACCTTAGTCACCTAAGAGTGTTTGGATGTGCTGCATATGCACACACTAGTGATGGGAAATTAAAGCCCAGGTCCATAAAGTGTATACTGTTAGGATATCAAGAGGGCACTAAAGGTTACAGGTTATGAGATACGGCTGCACTAGGGTTAAGATCATTATTAGCAAAGATGTAATTTTTAATGAAGGGGATTTCCCCTGCAAGTTTGCTAACATTGATGCAGGTCCTCCAAGCAACAATGTAACACAACCAGATCATCCAGACACTACACCAATTGAGGTGGAGGCAATAGAGGATACCCAGACTGAAAATGATCCTACACCAGAAGAAGCAGCAACACCTGATGGACCTGACCAGAATGAGGATGACACAGAAGAGGCCCAAGGTCCCTTGCTAGATGATTTGCAGGATTACCAACTGGCAAGAGACAGGACTAGAAGAGAAATAAGGCCCCCAGTGAGATACTCATATGCAGAGCTGATCTACACAGCCCTACTGGCAAGAACTGAAATACTGAGGACAGAACCAGAATCATACTCAGAAGCAATTACTTCAAAGGACAAGCACAAATGATGGCAAGCAATAACAGAGGAAATGAATTCTCTATAGGTAAATAGGACCTGGTCCCTTGTTCCTAAACCTAAAAATTAGAAAATAGGAAGGTGTAACAACTAATAAACCACCTAGATACAAAGCTAGATTGGTGGCCAAGGGGTTCACTCAAAGGGAAGGCATAGACTTCAATGAAGTCTTCTCTCCCGTAGTAAAATATAAAACCATTAGAATGATGCTGTCTGTTGTAGCTCACCAAGACCTAGAGTTAGAGCAACTTGATGTAAAACAACATTCCTTCAGGGGGATTTAGAAGAACAGATTTACATGGCCCAACCAGTAGGTTTTGTAGATAGTCTTAGACCATACCATGTATGCAGACTACAAAAGTCCTTGTATGGACTTAAGCGGTCACCCAGACAGTGGTATAAAAGGTTTGATACCTTTATACTTAACCTGTGATTCACTAGGAGCAAATATGATAACTGTTTTTACTTTGCTTTGAAAGATGTCATGTCTATTTACTTGCTGCTTTATGTAGATGATATGCTCATGATTAGTAAATCAAAATAAAAAATATCTGAACTAAAGTCTGGACTCAGTTCTGAATTTGATATGAAAGACCTAGGAGTAGCTAAGAAAATACTTGGAATGATGATAGACAGAGACAGAAGTAGGAGTACCCTAAAGGTTCATCAAACACCATACCTACAGAAGCTGGTTACCAAATATGGAATGTCTGAGTGTAAGCCAGTAACAATGCCTCTTGCAAATCACTTTATCCTGACTAAGTCCCAATGTCCTAAGAGTCCTGTTGAAACCATAAAAATGGAGATTGTCCCTTATTCAAATTTGATAGGTTCAGTAATGTATGTAATGATTAGCACCAGACCGGATTTAGCTTTTGCAATTTCTTTATTGAGTAGGTTCATGTCAAATCCAGGAAGTGATCACTGGATTGCATTGAAATGGGTACTCAGATATATAAACTGTACTGCATGTATAGGTTTAGAGTATTGCAAAAGAACATCTACACTTGATCTTGTGGGGTTTGTGGATTCAGACTTTGCAGGTGACAGGCATAGCAGGAAGTCAACCACTGCATACTGCTTCACCCTTGGAGGGAACTGCATCAGTTGGGAATCTCAACTCCAGCCTCTAGTTGCCCTATCAATGACTGAAGCAGAATATGTGGCCCTGGCAGATGGTTTCAAGGAAGCTATATGGATGCAAGGATTATTAACAGAAACTGAATTGACTGACAGCAAAGTGACTATCTTCTCAGATAGTCAAAGTGCTATACTGTTAAGTAAAAATCCTATCTACCATGAGAGAACAAAACATGTGGACATGAGATTTTACTTCATTAGAGACCTGATCACCAGAAGGCAGATTGATTTAACGGGTTCCCACTGAAGAAAATCCAGCAGACATGGGAACCAAGATTGTCAGTCCAACTAAGTTCAAGCATTGCATAAACTTGCTATTCCTGAAATAATCAGAGCATCAATAGAGCTATGAGGGAATCAGCTGAGGCACACTGCACTAAAAAGGGAGTCAGTAAGAGAGTTGGTCTCATGTCTTCAAGGTGGAGATTGTAAGTATGAAGACTGAAACGGTGCCGTGTTACTTAAACCAATACGTTGTCGTTTCAAGAATGAATCTGGACCATCAGTTTTTCAAGAGATCCAATGGCTGAGTTCAGTCCATCTTGGTCAATGATATATAGACAAACTTTTCTCTTTAGTCTAGGGTATTCTATTCGATTGATACAGTGTTAGGTTTGCTCTGCTAGGGTTCATCTTTTGTTCTGAAATCTTGATTCTGTGTAACTGGTTGAGTGATTGGTTTTGTCATTCTGATTGAGGGGTTTTGTCTCTCGGTGGGCTGGGATTCTGAGTGTTAGTTTCCTAGGCTGATNGTCCTTCTTACGCGCTTTCAAATCTATGTCACCATATAGTTTATCCTAAAAAAATAAAGAAAACTTTTAACTTTGAACATTTTGTTTCATTAAAAAAATATAAAAGATAATTAAGTCTCTAAGCGTCACTGTAATTTTTGAAAAGTACGTATGCACATACATATTTGTAATCGGCTTTTTTATTTTTTTTTTAGTGGGTTTTTGGTAATTTACAAAGAAGTATTTAACACTTTTCGAAATTCACTGGCTGCTCCAGACTTAGCTATCTCCTAAGGGGCCAAAAAAAATAACCCTTAAAAAAAAAAATTACCAATAACATAAATATATTAATAACCAAAATAAAAATTAAATCAAGAAAATGTTATTTAGCATTCAAAGCATTAAAGTTGGTTTTAATTCTTTGTAAAGAAGAAAATAATGAAATAGTTATAAACAATTTTTTTACATATATATAGAGATATTAAAGAGGATTTGATGAATAAAAAAAGTGTTAAATATTTCAAAATTTATATTTATAATTTTTTTAAATTTATAATGTAATTAATGAATTTTTTTTCCCAGATGTAACTCGGGCTAGATTAGAACACAGGTAAGCCCTCTCACAAATATGCTCTATTGGTTACATAATTTTGTAGATTTTTTTTCTTACGTTGAACATTTCATTTCTCATGTGAAATCAAGGATAGAATTTGATTAAAATTTAAGAAAAGTAAACATAAAGTAAGATATATAATGTGAAATGCTGCATATAAAAAAGAAGCAATAGAATTTGGAATCTTCTTTGTGTACGTCATGCGGGGTAGGTTCCTTCTTTGTTGGCGGTTGATAGTTTACAATTCAACAATGCAACCTAACCGTGTTGAATAATTTGTACACCTTAAACCCTTTAAAACCTTGTCATTTATCCAAAAATCTCCCTCATTCCTGATTCCTCTTCTTATTCTTCCACCTACTTTATTTCTTTCATGTCATTCTATTCCTCCTTCCTCTGAGCCATTTTCTGGCGACTTCACCATGCACATCAACCGTCTTTGTTTCGTGTTACCAGCTGACGCTGACGAAATCCAGTTCGAAGCCAACACCCCCGCCAAGAAACCGATCAAGAAACATTCTGAACGCAGTTGTGGAGGTCAAGTTCTTGGTTTCATTGGTGATTCATTGCGCCGTGTGTATGAGGCCAACTGGGTGAGTTTTTGTTACTCGGATGTGCAGAAGAAACAGCATTCTGGAGTGTTTCACGACCTGGAAGGAGTTCAGATATCTGAGAAAGTTGGAGGAGACAATCCGAGGATTTTTAGCTATGCTGAGCTTTATATTGGGTCTAATGGATTTAATGAAGATGAAGTTCTGGGAAGTGGAGGTTTTGGGGTAGTGTATAGAGCAGTTTTACCTAGCGATGGAACAGTCGTTGCTGTGAAATGCTTGGCAGAGAAAGGAGAGCGCTTTGAGAAGACTTTTGCGGCGGAGTTGGTTGCAGTTGCTCATCTTCGCCACAGGAATCTTGTCCGGTTAAGAGGTTGGTGTGTACACGAAGACCAGTTGCTTCTTGTTTATGACTACATGCCTAACCGCAGTCTTGACAGAGTACTTTTCCGGAGGCCTGAAAAAACGGAGGCAGCGCCTTTGGATTGGGAGCGTAGAAAGAAAATTATTGGCGGGTTAGCAGCTGCATTACATTATCTTCATGAACAACTTGAGACTCAGATCATACACCGCGATGTGAAGACAAGTAATGTGATGCTTGACTCTCATTATAATGCTAGACTTGGCGACTTTGGCTTGGCGCGGTGGCTTGAACACGAACTCGAGTACCAAACTAGGACTCCATCAATGAAAAACCACCAGTTCAACTTGGCAGAGACAACTAGGATTGGTGGCACAATAGGGTACTTACCTCCTGAGAGTTTCCAGAAAAGAAGTGTCGCTACAGCAAAATCAGATGTTTTCAGCTTCGGAATTGTTGTGTTAGAGGTGGTGTCAGGCAGGCGGGCAGTGGATCTCACATATTCAGATGATCAGATCGTTCTGCTTGATTGGATCCGGAGGCTGTCGGATGAGGGGAAGCTTTTACAAGCTGGTGATAATCGGCTTAAAGATGGATCTTACAAGCTTTCTGAGATGGATGGTCTCATTCATCTGGGGCTTCTCTGCACACTCCACAATCCACAATTGCGGCCTAACATGAAATGGGTTGTGGAAGCACTTTCTGGCAATAGTAATATAGCCAATTTACCAGCTCTCCCATCGTTTCAATCGCACCCTCTTTACATTTCTTTGTCTTCTCCTACCAACACCACTATAACCAACACAACAACTACTGCTTCCATCAATTCAACTGGCTCCAACACTACAGTTACATCCACTTCTTCAAACTATATAACTGCCCTAGGAGAAACTATATATGCAACTGCTGAATTTGAAAGCAGTGATTCCAAGCCATATGATAACAGAAGTCAGCGACGAACTGCTTTTTTCATGGTTGAAACTCCAAGGGAAATATCTTTCAAGGAAATCATTTCTGCCACAAATAACTTCTCGGATTCACAGAGGGTTGCAGAGTTGGACTTTGGAACTGCCTACCATGGCATTCTTGAGAATCAGCATCATGTCCTTGTGAAGAGGCTTGGCATGAATAAATGCCCTGCACTGCGGGCACGATTCTCGGATGAACTCCAAAATTTAGGGAGGCTTCGCCACCGCAATCTGGTTCAGCTCCGTGGTTGGTGCACTGAGCAAGGGGAGATGCTTGTTGTATATGATTACTCAGCAAATCGCCTTCTTAGTCACCTCCTTTTCCATCATAATCATGTAGTTGGAAATTCTGTTCTGAGATGGCATCAGAGATACAACATTGTCAAGTCACTTGCTTCTGCCATTCTTTATCTCCATGAGGAATGGGATGAACAAGTTATTCACAAAAACATTACCTCTTCTGCTATTATTCTTGATCCAGACATGAACCCACGGCTCAGTTCCTTCGCCCTGGCTGAATTCTTGACTCGCAATGACCATGGCCATCACCAAGCTACCAAAGGAAACAAATCAGTTCGTGGCATTTTCGGTTACATTTCCCCAGAGTATATAGAATCCGGTGAAGCAACCACAATGGCTGATGTTTATAGTTTTGGTGTGCTGATGCTCGAGGTGGTCAGTGGACAGATGGCAGTTGACTTCCGGCGCCCTGAGGTGCTAGTAGTTAAGAGGGTTCGTGAATTTGAGGCACAGAAAAGACCATTGGAAGAGTTAGCTGATTTAAGGTTGAATGGAGAGTATAATCATAAAGAACTGATGAGACTCACAAAATTAGGAATTGTGTGCACACTGTCCAAACCAGAATTAAGACCAAGCATGAGGCAGATAGTCAGCATACTTGATGGAAACGACAAATGCTTCATGGAAGAAGAGAAAATGAAAGAAAGTATGGAAGAATGGAAACAAAGCAATGCTTCATCTTTTTCATTGATAAAGAGAATACAAGCTCTGGGAATACAATGAAGTTCATGTAATGTTAACTGAGAGGCAGAGATTATGTTTGCTAGAATTTTGTTTTTTGAGAACTTTTTTCACTTATCCTTTTCTTAACTTTTGTATACTATCTAAGGTGTATGATGTGTATAATTAAAAATGAGTATGTCTTAGTATATATCTTCATGACATTATAGTTTCTATTTAACAAATTCTGGCAAAGCCACTACTATGAACTACCTCTCATACAATACCATAGTTTATACACAACAACAAGAAGAAGATAAGCTGGAAGAAGAAATAAACTAATCATCACTAAATTGACATTTAAATTTATTGAATGGTTCATGTTTCTACTGTTTGAAAAGAAAGCGTATATGAATTACATAAAGACAACAGCAGTTTCAGGTAACATTTGGGTTGTTTATATATACATAAATATGCACTATTCCGACCTCGTGCTGGACTATTATCCCCTTTGTTTACTTTTTGTTGTGCATTTGCTTTTACTCTATGTCACTAATTTCTTCATCTGAGTCCCTCTCAACTTCAATGCTATCATCAATGCCAACCCATTTGATCAAAGCAAAGAGAAATTCTCTGAAGCCGACCTTCCCATTCCTGTCCTGGTCCATCTCCACTGCATTGTTTTACATAGATTGCAATGGGAGATCAAAAGAAAATTCACACTTACAGCTAGAAGATTGAAAAAAAAAAAAAAAAAAAAAAAAAATAATGTGTAGAAGGGCAGCAGTCTATACTGAATGGATTCTTCAAGATATTTCCTGGTGATTTCTCCCAAGGATAAAACTCATTTAAAGACTTGTCCACGTCTTTCTTATTCAGCTTTCCATCACCATTCTTATCGAGAAACAAGAATGCGTCAACTATTCTATCAAAAGTTTCCTTGAGCTCTTTCGAAATCACCTATATCATAAGAAATTCCCAGATTATCAATTACAATGATAGAGCCAATTCATTCAGCTAGGTGCACTCAAGAAATTAATAGAGGAAACAAAAATGAGTTCATTGTGGTTACCTTAAAAGAAGAGGAGGAGGAGGGTTCTTCTAGTAGATCCATGAGACACAGGAAGACAATAAACTCAGTGAATTGTATTTCTTGGCTCTGATCAATGTCACAAGAATTGAATAGTTCATTAATCCGTTCCTCCTTCAGTTGGAGATTAAATTTCCCTAAGCATTTGCTAAGTTCCTCACGGGAGATAGCACCATTAGAGTCTTCATCTGAATGAAATAAAGAGAGGCAGAGAGAGTCAAATTGCAATAAGCATCTTGAAAATATCTAAAGAATACAAAAGCAAACTCATCATGACGCACCATATTGTTCAAATACACCTTTGATTTTTTTCAATCCTTCTTTGAACTTAGGGAACCACGAATATATGCTTTCGCTTGAATTGAAACTGATCTGTCCTGATGAACTTCTGATAACCTTTTCCTCACTCATTTTCTTTTCAAGCTGTGCGTCCAACTTACTATACTTACTTTCTGAACAACAACAGCTTAGCATGCCTATGAATTTGTTAGACAAGGACTTCTGAGAAGGGTAACATCGAGATTTGCCTTAAAAGATTGATAGGCACAATCAGATAATGTAAAAAAAACCTATGAAGTTTAGAAATATTAACATGTAATGTTTCACCAGAAAGACAATATGGTAAATGGACATAATATTCATCGACTTAAGGTCAGAAATTAAATCAATTAACACTATATTTTTAAAATACATATCTAAATTGGTAATTTTAGTGGTGAAAATCATAATCTCTAAGAGGTGGCAGAAATGGTTATGCTGCGGCACTTGTTGATTTTAGCGGCCAGTGCAATGAACATGATGTGTCGACGAATAATAGCAGCTGTGTTTGAAAAAGGGTGTCAGAGCTCTGGTGATTACCAACAAGAAATCTAGAGCAAACAGAAGTTCACAGAGGAGAAAATTGATCAGGATGTGCTTCTGAGCTGAAAATTCAACCAAGGTTTGCTATTTGAAAAGAACTTAACATTCTCTGATAATTATTTTGCAAGAGAAACTAAGTATAAGAAAGGCCAACAAAAGAGTTCCTTTCTTACCAAGAAAACATTCATCGGAGGATAGTTTTGAAAAGTGGTAACTACATAAATCTAAAACTACTATCATTTTAAATAGTAACTGGCAAGAAACAACACATCCCAAATATCTAAAACAACAGATAAACAGAAACAAAACTCAGAAGCAGGTATTGAAGTTTAAGATATAAATATAAGAGTTAGCATTGAGTTGAAGACTTAACCATTCAACTAATACAAAAGTATTTACAGGCTTGTCTTAAACATGCAATCCTTGGAAAAACAAAAGGAAAAAAATGAAACTTACCCATTGAATCTCCAATGGCAACTGAGTTTGGCAGAGAAGACAAGTTGATTGGGTTCTAGAGAAAAAAGGGGAAAAGGAATTTACTCATAAAAAGGGTAAAGAGCAAGCAAAATGGGATTCTCTTAAAGTGAAATGCCATTCTCTCTTTAATTTTCAGAATGCCAACATGAAAGATTTTGAAGAATATTTAAACGGTTGCTTACTTAGAGAGTTGAACTGTTCTTGATACCACTTCTCCAACTGTAGCTTTATTGTCACTGTGTCACAGAAGAGTCTACTAACCAGAGGCGGAGCTGGATAGAATTTGCTTTTCAGGGGCCACACTGGAACTTTCAACAAATAAGGGGTCAAAAAGTGAGAATGTATATATTTATATGTAAAATTTAAGTTTTGTATGGGACTTAAGAGTAATCACGTGGCCTTATATTTAGGGTGTCAGCCAACCCTGCTGAGTCGAGTCAAGTTCAAGTTCCCTAATATACTCGACTCAACCAGCTCGCGAGTTTCAGTGAGCTTGAAAGGGTATTTATGCGAGTTTTATGAGTATTTTTGAATCCTAAAAATTGAAAAAATAACAAACACACCCAACATTCCCAAATAATGTAATTTGTAAAATCGAATTTGAAATCGAAGTTAGAAGTTTAGAACATTAGAAACTCTAAATCCTACTTCTCCGATCTCTCTCTGATACGACTGATTTGTCGACGTCAACTACTTCTTCTCGTCGTCCCGTTTGCCGACGCCACCAGCTTCGTCTCGACCATTGTCGATTCGTTCACCGATGGCCCGACGCTGTTTGTTTCCTCCCATTTCAATGCCTTCAATGGTTTCCCTCTCAATCTTTGTCGCGCGATCTTCGAAGGTATAAATTTTATTTTTTTCAACTCCTTCATGCTTGTGAAATGTTGTACTTTGTTAGTTTGTTATGGTCGACAAATATTCAGTAACTACTGTCGGCTTTTTTGAGTCAACTCAATTGAATGTGGCCTCAAAAGCTTTTGCGTTTGGTAGAAAAATCAAGAGTTTTTCAATGATTAATATTGTAATTTTCGCAAGTGTTTGAAACCGTGCAAGTAATAAGTATACAAATACGAACATTGAACATAAGGGAATTACTTCTATCAATTACCAAAAAATACTATCTAATTACTATTTGATTAATCCAGATTTTTATCAAGAAAAATCTAAATTAAAATAAACAATTGAAATTAAATATAAAAAAAAATCTAAAAAGAAAACAATTGAGTAAATCTTTGGTTTTAATGCAAGATGACTAGGCCTAGGGCATAGATTTCACACCAACTCTTATTCCTATGTATAGATAACTTATGCTAATTTCATTAAGCTCTTCTTACAAGTCAAACTTCTTAAATTTCTAATAATTTTCTCTCGAACAATTATCAAATTAACTCATAATTACTAACCCAAATTATCTGTAATCAGATGTAAGGAATTGGAGATCATTACGCTCTATGGAGTTTACCAAAACTTGACAAGTCGCGGCAACCTATCTCCAGCGTTCGCTCAACTTATAGTTTTACTATCGTAGACCAACTAAGTATCATCTCTTGATCTTAACTTAGTCCATTAATTCGTTCAATTTTTGGATCCTTAAGAATCAAAAGCATTATGCATAAAAATACAACTTGGGAAGAAATCTTAATAAAAATCAACATAAATAAATCAACACATAATCAAGAGATTAGGCTACATCTTATCCCTAGAAAAAAAAATTAGTTCATAGCAATTATGAAAGAAACAATCATCTTTATTAAAATATAAATCATGAAAGGAAGAACAAAGAAAAACTTCTCATGATTTTGCTCCAAAAGCTCCATAAATTATGTTGTTTTTTTCTTTTCTTCTAATAGTTTTGCTTTTTATCTCTCAAAAAATCTCCAAAAATAATGCTAAAAGGCTTCTATTTGTGTCCCACAAGGGTTAGGTTTTTTTTTTCTTTTTTTCCCTTAATTCTACTCAGTTTAGGACTCTTAAACCTTATTTTTCTAGTTAAAAAGGGAAAACAAATTTCCAACTGTCGTGACTGTGCCGTAGCCAGGGCTATAAACAAGCCAAGCTGAGTTTTAGACTTATCGAGCTCGAGTTCGAGCTCAAGCTTTTCGAGTTAGAGAAAAGGGACTCGAACTCGAGCTCGATCGAGTTCAGGCTGGCTTGACTTCGTCTTCATCTTCATTTATTTTCTTCGTCTTTATCTCCATCATCTTCGTCTTCGTCTTCATCTTCGTCTTCGTCTTCATGGAAATGGAAGTTCATCTTGCTCTTGTTTCTTCATCATCATCTTCTTCTTCCTCAACACATCATTCTTATACTTGCAGAGCTTTACGAGTTGCCACGCTGCTTCCATCTCCATCTTCTTCTTCATCTTCATCTTCTTCCTCAACATAACCATTATTTTGATTTTGATTTTGATTTTCTGATTATGAATATTGAAGATACAAGATTAGCAGAGAAACATGAGCTTTTTATACACTAAATTTGCAAGAAAAAATTTAGGGTTTAGGGTTCGTCGATTTGGGAAATGTGATTTGGGGGTTTAATTTCATGTTTTAGAACTAATTACATTAGGGGGGTTAACTATCGTTTTTACAAATTTTTAAAATTAAAGATAACACTTCAGTCTCCATAGTTTATAAAACTAACAAAAGGAACCCTGCTTACAAGCCACCTCAGGCTCACAAGCTTATTGAGTTGAGCCTCCCCATGTTTGAACTTGGCGAGTTTTATATAGTGAGCTTGAGCCGAGTTGACTCGACTAACTACGAATAGAGTCATAAATGAGCTTCAGACGAGTCGAGTCGAGCCGGCTCGCGAGTCGTTCGGCTCGTCTAAAAGCCCTAGCCCTGGCACTATGCTATGGCATTCTTGATTCTGGACTAGCTGTGCCGCGACACAGTGTTGCAGCATGATGTCAAATTCCTCTTCTTCAGTTCAAACCTTGTATCATTCCTCATCACTCCAAAGATAGTAATTTTTGAGCATGTATGGAATCTAGAGAAGTGGTAAACATATGAAATGTAGCCATTTGAATTGGCTTGCCAACAATTAAAGAATCGTTTTAATATGATATATACAGCTCAAGTTATTATTAAAAAACCAAAGTATACTCAAACTAGAGTAATCTAGAATCTCCTCTTTAAATTCAAAACTCCATAACTTCTTCAATTCAACTCTGATTCTTGATCTGTTTGTTTCTACTTGTCACTCATTCCTTTGCTCTTCATCTGAGGGTAACATTTAGCATTAACAACCTGAAAGCAGTCTAACATACCCGTGATCCCATAAAAGACAATTATGAAAATATTAAGCAAATTTACCAATTTAAGCCTAATTTCTCACAAATAATCCCCATAAACCACTAAGAAAATGTGCATTTTCAAGCTCTTATCAATTAATTGTGCGAAACTGGGAAATGAGTCATAGTGGTGTTGTGTTTGCGAAACTGGAAAAGTGGACTACCTATTTTTAAGACTTAGAATTTGAGCTCGAGCTCGAGATTGGATCAGGTAAAATTTGTTTGAGCTTCGACCGAGCTCAAGCTAGCTCGAGCTCACCTTTTCTATGCCGAACTTGAGCTCAAGCTCAATGTTTCAAGCTCGCCAAGCTCAAATAGTCCCAAGCTCGGCTGAACTTGTTTACACCCCTTACTTATAATAGCTATTATTGATGAGATATTTTGGCTAGATTATTTAGTTTTTTTTTTTTTTTTTTTTTTAAATGTTTGTTTTCTTTTAAGAAAATTATTTAAAAAGGAATGCAACTAATATAAGAAATACAAGTGTAATTTGGAATAAAAATATTGGTCATTGTAGGAATAAAATGTTTTTGCATATTTAATTTATAAATGTAGGGGTGAAAATTCTGGGCTAAGAGAGAAAACTGAGTTAAATAATTTATGTAATGTAAAAAGGGTGGATTAAATACAATAGGTGAGTGATGAAACATGGATTGTTGTTAGGCTCCATTAGTATTGAGTTTAGCTACTAAGTTATATGGTGTTAAATTTATATTCGTGTTAATGTTACTAGTGGATTCTCCCTATCTATGATATAGGCAAATTGTGTCAAACCATCTCAAATGATTATATGTGTTTGTAGTGTGTGATTATTTTTATATGGTGTTACAGCTTATGGTGTGTGATTTATTTTTATACAAATATTCTAATAACGATATTAGAGTTTTGGTTGCAAACAAGGAGATGAGCTTTTTAGAGATGTTGAATACATCAAAAGTCTAACCAAGTAGATACTGTTTGCTATTGACCTAACTGCCAAAACGCATTTAGTTAGTTAAGAGAACCCAAGCCTATAAATTAAGCGAGAGTCCATTCGATAACAATATGGGCTGTGACAAACTCCCTACTTTATAGAATTGCATCATTGTGATGTCGTCACGCCTCATTATCGGATCGCAAGCATGCTAATTCTTATTGTAATATCTTGGCGACCAAGTAAATATTATCCGCTTTAGGCTCGGATCTGCATATATCTGCTTTGGGCTTCACTAAGTATGATTCACCTAAAACAAATCTACTTAGTGAAGATAACTAAACCTTATAAACTGGATCAAAACTTCATTCGTTACTGTTATGAAATGTGACAAATACGCAAAAGATACAAACCACAACAACTTCAAGTTGTAGGTGGAATGGTTCATAGTTAATGATTAGAGTAGTGTTATTTGAGCCCAACTAAATATCCTTCTAAACCCCGATAATAATTAAAATCATTTTAAAAAGTTAATTTACTAATATATTATGTTTTTATACCAAAATTACCCCTTCATAATATTTCTTTATATAAATCTCTTTGTTAACCCCATTGTCTGCTTTTTCTATCGTGTTAAGTTTTGGTCTCAATTTTTTGTCTGTTATAATCTCAAAGTTTTCGTCGTCATTTTTTGTCTTAAGTAAAATCTCAATGCATTTCTTCTTCAACAAGAGTATTCCATCTCTAAATTTATACACAATATTTTTTTATTTTAATCAACATAACTTCTATGAGAACTAAGAAATCGTTATC